TTCAACAACATGTTTACTCATCTGGAATAAGTGTTTTGAAATGTAAAAACATAACAATTAATGTTTATAATAAATAGTATTGTTTCTCTGTAAGTAGATAGCACTTTTTCTTTTGTATTGTTGCTCGTTTCAATAAATTAAGGCTGTTCTGATTAGGCTAAAAATGCGTTACGTAATGAAACCAGTGCGGTAATGAACTTCATTACGTAACTTAAATCACCTAAAATGAGTGCGGTAATGATGACTTATCCAAGCAGTCGTAGATAATAATATTTTATGAAAACTAACGCGTCTATTAAGTCGAATTTAATTTTTAACCTGAATTTTGTACAAAAGTTACTCGCAATGGAAAAAACTCTTCCACTTTCAGTATATGTCGGTTGTATAGTCCCTAAAACGTTGTATAAATTTTGTTAATTGTTTTCTGAGATCGTTTCTTGCATCTGCTGAAACAAAGATGTTCCCGTAGTTGCAGATTTTGTTACTTCTTTAATTGCATCAGCTTCCTTCTCAATCCCTTCGTTATTTGGAACTTTAAATAATCTTTCCGCCAAAGAAGATGCTCTGTCTTTCCCTTGCGGGAAAGATCCGCTATCTAAAAATTTATATAACGTATATGTATCTAAAATTCTTTTTTTTTATTGAGTGATACATTTTTTTTCCAAATTCACTATCGTTTTGCTCTAATTTAATAAATTTGAAGATGATTTACTTAGTTCTATAACTGCCAATTCAGATTTCTTCTAATGCTTTGTTTATGCAGTCTTTTCAAAATTAATTTCTTTTCAGTCAAAATTAATTTTTAACGCCACTCAACTGTGAATATTTTTTCATAACACTGGCCTCATCTTGAGTTGAAGCCAAAATATGAGTATTTAGCGTAATATCATATTCGTTTAATTTTCTTTCAACTAATACCTGCACTTGATGGGTATCGCAAGAACTTTTTATGGAAATAAGACATAACTGTTATCCATTGTGTGCAGTAATAGAAAAGCCATCATAAGCAGCACACTTACTTGGCTAATAATTCTGCCATGGATTCTCTTTGAATAAAATTCGCCATGCTAGAAGATTCGACTGCACTCTTATTTCTTTTTTCAGGAGGTTTTAAAATTGCGTAACATTTCAAACATTTTGCTTCATTTTCTTTTACTCTCTGAAATATTTTCCACACACCTAATTTAACTACTAAATTTAGAACTAACACTAAACCTAGAACTAGAAACTTTCGGGTTTAGCCGTCTTAAGAGACGTACGGCTAATCCGAAATGTTTCTAGTTCCAGGTCTAATATTAGTTCTAGTGACAGTGCAAGTATAAAGTAGAGCTAACACTATCATCTAGAATCATTCGGATTTAGCCGTCTTTAGAGACGTGCGGTTAAACCCAAATGATTCTAGTTCTAGGTATAGTGTTAGTTCTACATAGTAACAGTGCAAGTGTAAAACTAGACCAAGAACTAGAATCATTCGAGTTTAGCCGTCCTAAGAGACGTGTGGCTGGGTCTTATGTTGGTTCTACTGATAGCGCTAGATAACTAGAACCAACGCTAGACCTAGAACTAGAATCATTCGGGTTTAGCCACACGTCTCTTAAGACGGCTAAATCCGAATGATTCTAGTTCTAGGTCTTGTGTTAGTTCTAGTGATAGTGCTAGTGTAAAACTAGAAGTAACACTAGACCTAGAACTAGAAATATTCAGGTTTAGCAGTCTAAGAGACGCATGGCCAAACCCGAATGTTTTTAGTTCTACGTCTAGTGTTAGTTCTAGTTTTAGTTCAATAAAAATATACAACATAGTAATATGTTATGCTAACTACCGCTACTTACCACTGCCACTAGAACTAACACAAGACCTAGAACTAGAATCATTCGGGTTTAGCCGCACGTCTCTCAAGACGGCTACAAATAGACACTCTTAAATCTGAAATGTGTTCGGTTTACTTGAAATAAAATATCGAGATATCAAATCCATATTCATGGCCGAAATTCGTCAGCTTCTAATTGTTAAAGTTTTAGCACCGACATTTTTTGAAAATTGCCAAGATAATAAAGGCTAAACGCTTTAACCGTTGCCAACCTAAGTCTTGAGTTGGATNATTTTTAATTATAGATTCAAGATAGTACAAGACAAGCAGCAGAATATATCAGTAAAGTAGCTCGAATTAATGTTAAACTGAAAAAGTTAGTTAATAATTTATTAATTGCGTTTAAAAATATTAATTAATTAATTATTTGATTAGGTTTGATGCTGCAGCTGATGCAATAAGACGCGAAATTGGTATTCATCAACAAAATGAATCTTACCAAGCGATGGGACGATTAGCCGTTGCCTTAGTTTTGGTACAATTGGGTAGAGGAGATGTTGTCGCGGCAGAAAAAGCATTTAAAGAATGGGGTAATTGTTGTGAAGGCGCCGAAGTACAAACATTAGAAATGCTGTTACAAGCGTACGACGAAGAAGACCCCGATGCGGCTAGACAAGCTTTAAATAATCCATTTATCAAGCATATGGATGTAGAATATTCGATTTTAGCTAGAGATATGCCCCTTCCAGAAGGAATTAATATTCCCCAAAAACCGAACGTTAGAGAGAACGCTACGGCCTCATACGTCTCGCCTAATTCCAATAATGTAACTTAGATATCATTTAATTTTCTTTCATAAATAATTTTTTTTAATTATAGGATCAAATTTCCCCCGATCAAATGTCTACTTCGACTCCCCTCGCATCCGGAGATTCAAAACCACCACAAGTTGGCGAAGAGGAAGATGAAGAAGACGAGGGTCTATGTTAAATTACATTCCGCTCAGATTGCGTAACTTAACACATTTGCAATGTTAAAATTAAATGAAATCTGATTGTTTTTAATGTTATTGTTGAGTTGTATATATATATATGATGTGTATATGATTTATTTTATAGTTATTTCTTTGTTATTTTAGAACGTTTATTTATTTTAAAATTTTTGTACAAAGATAAATAGCACCCAACTAAGTAATGTATGTTATTTAATGATGGAAAAAAAACTGAACTGGATATTGATCACTATAGTTATTATAGTTATAATTACGAAATAGTTGTTAATCGATTTTTGCTGCAGTTCTAATTGAATAAACTTCAGCTTTATGGCATAATCGTTTTTTAAAATAGATCTTACAATTTTTAACCTATTCAATCAAGATAGAGTAAGATAATAATTAGCAAAAGGAACAGCAAAAAATGTTTTATGTAATTTTGGAGTTTCGACTTCAACTTGATATATGGAAGAAGACTTATTGTTGTCATCAGCTTGCTGAAGGCGTAAATATCCCCAGCAACAGATTGATTGAAAAATTAATCAGATGCTGACGCTTTCATCCTTTTGTAGTAGTTAACCTATACCCCATTGAACATGTTTAGAATTGAAGTCACCACATGTGATGAATCCTATATCCATGTGTATTTAGGAAGTCTAAGTATCGTTCTTTTTTCAGAGTATCTAATGAGCATGTCTTAATGTGTAAACTGCGGAGACAATAAATTCATGTTTTTGCCCTGGTCAGATTGTGTTGGTAATTTCTGGTGTAGTCTTTGTCCAGAACGTTTGATGGCGCAATTACTTAGAGAGCACGACTTCGTGGCCGATTGCAGCTGCAGTGGCAACCACCATCACACTGTATCTGACGGATTTTCGGTGGAGGCGCTGGGTTTGCAAATACATTCGTTCATTGTTATTAACAAACACAATTAACATTAATAATTAACAAACACAGAAATACGAAGAATATGAACAAGAAACTAATGGACTTGTCTTGTTATTGCACAGGACAGGAAATCACCAATACGGAAACTTTGCCAATGCAGGATAAGCACAAAAGCAAACTAACAGCTGCAGAAATGAGGTACCAGGTGGTACAAGATCCGTATAGATAATAAGAGGC